AAAGCCAAAAGCATTTATTCAAGTCCTGACCCGGATCCACCTTCTTAACAAAATGCTCCTTATTTCTCATCTATTCTCACACAATGCTGATATAATTCTCTAACAATCCCTTGTTTCTGCAAGAAAATTTCAGAAACGTATCTGTCAGGTGTGGGTAGACCCTCAAGAGAAATCAGACAGCTTCCAAGGAACACGGGAAAAACTATGAACAAAATAAGCTCTGCATTCAAAGTTTAGCTAAGTTTAGCTATAGAAATTAATGAATTCCCAAAGAGAGTGTACTGGAGGAGATAAACAACACCCAGCCTCTAATGACACTCAAGTTTCTGAAAATGCCTACCTGTGCCCCCATGGAAGCAAACAGGGAACTGAATTTGAAAACCAAAACAAGGCTAGTAAATTCCTGAAGGGAGACAGTTCATTTCCTTGGGAGAATAACCAGATCATGCATTGCCTTTCACAGCAACACACCCCGGCTTGAACATCTTAAAAAGGCTGAGGCTGCTGAACATCTGCTGAGCAATTAATGCAAGCAGCCGTGTGCGATAATGGTCCCTGGGAAGGTTTCCGTAGGCCTGCGTAGAGACATGAAATGCTGCAGATAGTGGCTTATTTTCTCTTTCTGTAAGGCACATGAGAGGATGAGAAGAGAGCGGAACCAAAATTCCATATCTGCATCGAATAATCTTCTCTACCCCTATACAAATATGTTCATTTCTACTTAGAAAACACCATTGTAACCCTTCCTACCTAAAGCACCCTGTTTCCCAGGCAGGAAGGGAAAAAACCCTGTAGTCTGTTTGTCAGACATGCAGTCCCACAATCTGATGTTCTAAATATGGTAGTTGGAGCTATTCCAGGATCAATTTCAAATAGGAAATGAATACTTGACCATTATATTTAATAGTCTCATTCTTGACACAGATCTTCTGTTGGTCACATTGTTATGAAAGCACAGTCGAGAATGTGTCTACCTGGGGATAGTGCCAGTTCTATCTCCGTATGGGAACAAACAACACTGCGGGGATCAGCAATTCTCTCAGTCTTGGTCACTTTCTTCCTTTACAGAATCTAATGTTCCACACACTAAGTCTCCATCAAGATAGATGCTGAGTCCACCCTGACAGAAACTTCATAATGCTGGCTAATGAAACTTGCAATTTGACTAACAGAAGCGTGTTATTCTTAAATCTAACAGGAACAAAAGTAAATAGCCATAATGATTGTTGGAACATAAAGATTTTTGTCTTGTGCTCAAGTTGTCTCAGTACGAGAACCTTTTTTTCTGCCTGCCCCTGTATCTTTTCTCCTGTTGTCTTGGCAACCTTTAGTCATACATGTCTTTGGTGTGGCCTCCCGTCTTTCACATTGTTGGTATGATTATGTGGACTATCAATGTTATATTCTTTCTGCCAGCCCTTCTCCCCAGCAACCTGACTCCTGCAGCCTGTGAAAGAGCTGCAAGCATGAAATGGAGAAAATTCTCAGATCTTTCCAACTCTGCATTGCACTGGCTCTCTAGGGCTCACCAATGCAGCTGAGCGAATTCCTCACAGCTATCCAGATGAAGCCGCCCTTCACCATGTAGGCGGGTCAATTTCGGGTGGAATCTTTTGTGGATGTGTTGCTGTCCCCATCCCTCCACTGGGAGTCCTGTCTAGCTAGAAGGTGGACTCTAGACTTCATGACCCCTGCAACGAGAATTCTCAGCTATAGTCACCCCCATATCCTTCCAGGAGCCTACCTGTGGTAGGTCTCCAGCTTGTCACAGAGATGCTCCTACAGTGGTTTCTCTTCTCTCTGCCAGCCCTTTGTCCTCCTGCTCTTGCTCTCCCCAGGTCTGATCTACATCCTCATTTCTCTCCCTGCTCCCGCTCCTATCCTGTTCCTTCTCTTCAACCGCTTCTGCTGTCTGTTCTAGTTCACCATTTGAATGAGATTTAAGCAACCGCCCGTGAGTCCCCCTTTTTACTTACTTCTTTGGGTCTGTGAAATGTAGTGTGTTTATACTGTACTATATGGCTAAAATCTGTTTATAAGTGAGTACATACCATGCATGTCTTTTTGGGTTTGGGTTGCCTCACCCAGATGTGCAGGGATAAAAATAGAGCAGAGATTGAGGGAATGTGCAACGAAAGGCTGACCCAACCTGAGACCCACCACATGTGAGAGAGCCAACCCCAGACACTATTAACAATACTCTGCATGCTTGTAAACAAGAGCCTAGCATAGCTGTGCCCTGGAAGGTTCACCCACGATCAGATTGAAACAGATGCTGAGACTCACAGCCAAACATTGGTTGGAGCAGAAGAAGTCTTGTGGAAGAGTGGATGGAAGGCTATTTAGAAGGACCCGGAGGGGCCAGGAGCTCCACAAGAAAACCAACAGAGCCAACTAGGACTGGTGGGGAGGGGGCTTAAGGAGACCGAAGCACCAATCAAGGACCATGCACAGACTGTATCTAGGCCTCCTACACAGATGTAGCCAGTGAGTAGTTTGGTCTTCTAGTAAGGGGAGCAGGGGCTATCTCTGACATGGACTCTGTTGCCTGCTTTTTGATCACTTCCCTTTGGTGGGGCTGCCTCACCAGGAAAAAGGGGAGGAGGATGTGCTCAGTCCTGATGTGACTTGATGTTGGTAAAGGAGGGGCTCCCATTTTCTGAGGAGTATGGGGTTGATAAGAGGAAGAGGGAGGGAGGGTGAGACCCAGAGAAGAGGAGGGAAAGGCTATGACCAGGATGTAAGTGTTAGTTAATTTATTTATTTTTTTAAAAATGAAGCTTCCATGTTAGGTATGGATTCTCAAATTCTTAGGATGTTCCTGCTGTATCAGCTTCTTATAATTAAGGCATGGGCTAAACCATTCTCAGATAGCTGACCACCTACTTTCCAATTTTCTTTAATTCTAAACTAGCTCTCACAAGAAGGTCACCCACCAACTCACTCCTTTTTCTAGTCTTCTTATATTTGAGATAGTTTCTCTAACTGCATAACAGGCTTGACTTAATTCTTCTGGCCACCTCGTAAGTGCTGGTACTGCAGCATGTCAAATTTGCCAAAATAGTGTGAGACGTATTTGAAGTGTACTATAATGACAGGTGAAATGGAAATCTGGCACACATAATAACTGAGAGAGGGAAGATGTGTGAAAAAGTAGAAGGTCAAACATCGTTGGCCTCCAGAATAGAGGGACGGGAAAAATAATGCTCATTCTTTCTTCAACATCCTTGTGATATTTCCTCCATTCCAATGGAGTCGCCAGGTACATAGAACAAGGAGAGTTTTCTGATAAACAGTGACATTACAACATAATTTGTCATTTGCTGTCTGAGTTCATTCAGAATCTGAATATGCTGTAATGCAAACTTAGAATGATGAGAAATGAAATATATACTTTCAAATGCAGAATTCTGTATAGGGCATTAGGCTGTACTACATTCAGCTTCTAAATTAAAATGTGAGCACGTAGCTCTAGGTACGGTGGGAGAGGATGATGACGTACAATATGTCCTCTAAGCAAGTTGCATTAATGAATTAAGTGAATTTCACACCCCTTTTCAAAGGCTTTTATGGCTTTTCAGAGTCCATGAAAATACAGATGTCGGTTCCATGCTCTCCCTCTCTTCCCTGTGTTCATTAACAACTGCATCTGAAAACTTAGTGTTTAAAATAGTGGGACAATAGGAGAGAATGGCAATATGCTTAGCTGGACTTCAGACCTAGGAACCCCCTGGAATCGCCAAGAAACTGAATGATGGAGATGGAAACTTCAGACTCTTTACCAGTCCCAAGGCCTTTCCTGGTTGGTGCTAAAATCTTTGGAATAACTCATGAGTTCTGTCCCATCCTTCCTTTAAGAACCCCCGCCCCAAACACTATCTCCTTTACCAAATATTCAATAGCATTTGGAACAAATAGAATTCATCTCTGCCTTTAATTTCCTTAATTACTTCAATTGTTAGTGATGCAAGGGAATAAAAAAGAAAAACAACAGCTTTTCATGTGCACGGCGTGCTCTCCTAAGCACATCATCTAAGTTATTCTATTTTTCACACAATCCCAAAACCCCATCAACAGCTCTGTGGAACATAGAATTTAAATATGTTTTCTAGGTGTCTGTCCATAAGTGAGTTCTAGAAAATGATGGAAAAATAAATATCTGGTTGAAAAATAAACAAAAATATAAATATTTAAATGTCTGTCTATAATTTGTTACATCTCTATATGAACACTAATTCACTTACTTATTGAGAGACCTTCCTCAACTTCTCCATGGACTGCAGAATAGTCTACCAATGTCACCACCATACTTACCCACACTAAGCCAAATTATAAGTCTCATCAGTATTGTTTATAAAACCATTTCCAGTTGGCATTTCTGCTCCATGAAGCTGATGCTTTACCCATAACAAGTAATTGATAAATATTGTTCATTTAATTCATTATTAACATACATGATGCCATCCATTCATAAATGCTTCAGATTACCTATTTTTATCAATAGCTCTCTCTATAGTTAGAAGGAAGATTCCCCACCTCCTTAAGTAAAGAGACAGAAAATCATTAACATTTACTTACAAAATTAGTACCAAATCAAGGCTGGCTCTATGTTGCTCCTAAATATGTACTTCAACTGTTCTACAATAGCCTGGAACTCAAAGAAATTGAATTCTTGTGCTATAAATTATTTGTAAGGCTTTATAGAAAGATTTGGAAAATATTACTTATAAGGTTAACACTCTTCTTGAGGTATTTTGAGACAAAGCATGCTATCACACGAGAGCACACACCTAAGTGATTTATTGAACTGTTTTCAGGGACTAAGTAGAAACAATATCTTATTCTCTTGCTGAACTTGTTTTCCATTAGGGAAGAGCCATCAATCAAAGAAACTTTCAAGAATTATGCCCAATTTATAACTACCATCTATCCTTGGTTACAAGGAAGATGATTTCCCTTCAGCGCAGTTGCTGGCAAGAACCCCAAACATGGAGACTGACCTGCTGTTAGATGAGCTGCATGGACAAGAACTTGGACCCCAGGCTTCAGCTCAAAGTGAACCAAGTTCTGGTTGAGTTTGTGGATTAGAACTTCAGATATCTGAAAGAAGTATTATAGTTAGTGTCACCAAAATCATTATATAGACTATAAACAGTCACAGTGAGAAATATGTAGAGCAAATAATAGAAACAGAGTTTGTAAGAGTTTTTGCTTCTTTAGAAACCCATTTATGCTATGTGAACATGGTTTTGAATTAATCCCAGGTGTAGGATATGGGGCTGCTTCAGATTGTCCATAGCAGCAGACTATTTGCCTTGTGTGTGCTCTGGCAGTGGTGTGATTCTGCCAGCTGCAGATGGTTTAATTCTGGGGAAGCTAGAGGGAGTCTAAAAAGACCAGAGCCCAAAGAGACATGGCCTGGCTGTTTCTCCTTCTGATTCAGGCTCCTGATGCCCCTGATGCTGCTGTTGCTGGTTTGTCAAGTAGTCTACAGAAAAAAAAAGACAAGAAGAAGAAGTTGGAGATAAACTGACGAGATGAAGACTGGACTTGCCCCAAGGACCTCAAGCCCCTTAATCAACAGGAAGTGGTCTAAAAGGATCTCAACAGCCCCCTCTCCACTCTAAACTTCTGTCTCTCCTACCTGGCATGGGGTGTTGGAAGGGTCTGGAGTTGAGAAGGGTGGTAGATATAAGAAAAAAAATATACCTGTAAGAGAGAGAGTCTCTTATATACAGGAACTAAATAGCAGCAGTTGGTACAATCCAAACATTCTGGTGTGATTTACTTTGTTCCCTTCACTTTGTCTAAACAATCCCGATGGCTTTTATGGGTAAGAACTTTATGACTGTTGGATACTGAATGTTATGTTAAAAAATAACATAACAAATGATACAGCTGGCAACAATGCAGCCACAATTGAAGCAATGACTAGGTTAATCTTTGTTTCATACAAAGAGGCATTTGCTACACAACTTCTGAGGCTGGTACATGTTGGTAGGAAACAGGGCATTCTGGACTACAGACTCTGCAAGGAATTACAAAAATGGTTAAAGCCCGTTCTTTTGTTTAGCATAGAGATTTATTATGCCTTGCTTACACATTTTTAGAAATCTCTAAAAAGCTCTGAGGGATAAACATACTAGTTATTTTTTATCTGCTATCCTTGCCTTGTTTTAATATACTATTATAAGCATCAGTTCGTATTTTATTTAACATGCTATTACGTCTAATTAGATGAATGCTGGCCATTATTCTTCTGGTTAAATTCTTTTTGTTTTCCCTTTTTTATTTGCTGAGTGAGTTTCACCTCCTCTATTAAGATGCCAAAATGGTATTGTTGAACATTAATAATTAAGCATGGTCTCATGGCTTAGTTTAGAGTCCATTATAGAAGTCCCCAGTTGGCAACGGAACTTCAGTGCCCTGCACATAAGCTTCTCTGTTGAACAAGAGGGGTGAAATGGTCTCCCATACCCTACGGATGAGCACTGGGACCGTCCCCGCAAATGCTGTCATTGTGAAACCATGAAGAAAAAAAGGCTAAGTTTAAGTTTTGTTGTATCCAGTTAGCCCCTCTGTGAAGATACTCCAATGTTTTGTTTTGTTGTTTGTTACTTTGTTTTGTTTTGGGGGTTGTTTGTTTGTTTTTTAGCATGGAAATTTTCCTTGATGGTCTAGGCTTACAAGAAAGATTTCCAAGCAATTTTATCAATGTCGCTTTTTCTGTAATCTCTGATTACTTCTCAATTAGTGGCATCTTGATAGGAAATAAACAATGGATTTTTAGTAAATGCCTATCACAGCAGTTTTGGCTTTGATGCTTACAAATGCATGTAAACTGTCAACATACATATACATGCAAAGGTACAAACACTTGCATATGTAGATATACAATGAAAAAACACTCTAGTCCAACCATGAAAGACATCTCAGAAGCAATTAAGAAATTGACCTGGGTTCTTTCCAGGTTCTGGCAATTACAAATAAAGCTACAAACATGGCTGAACAAATGTCCTTGTTGTGTACTTCAGTATCTTTTGGTTATATGCCTAGGAGTGGTATAGCTGGATCTTGAGGAAGCGCTATTCCTAATTGTCTGAGAAAGCGTCAGACTGATTTCCAAGGTGGTTGTACAAGTTTACATTCCCACCAGCCAAGGAGGAGGGTTCCCCTTTCTCTACAACCTCTCCAGTTGTCACTTGAGTTTTTGATCTTAGCCATTCTGATGAGTGTAAGGAGAAATCTCAGGGTTGTTTGATTTGCATCTCTGATGGCTAAGGACGTTAGCATTTCTTTAAGTGTTTCTCTGCCATTCTATATTCCTTTACAGAGCATTCTCTGCTTAGCTCCGTACCCCATTTTGGAGGAACAGCCTTGCCAGGCCACAGAGGAAGACATTGCAGCCAATCCTGATAAGACCTGATAAGCTAGAGTCAGATGGAAGGGGAGGAAGACCTCCCTTATCAGTGGACTTAGAGAGGGGCATGAGAGGATATGAGGGAGGGCAGGTGGGATTGAGAAGGAATGAGGGAGGGGGCTATAGCTGGGATACAAAGTGAATAAAATATAATTAATGTAAAAAATAAAAATTTAATTAAAAAAAAAGAAATTGACCTGTTTCCTAGAGACTATCAGAAACACAAAACAGAACCAAGTATTATTATCAGGACTTCCCGCCTTCATCACAGTGAATTGATGCTATTTCTTATTCTTGAAAATGTTTATATTCAAGTGAGACATATAAATAACTAAATCAAAAAATAAAATTTATTGGAACAATATTCTTTTAATTTATTATCCCAGGGAGAGTTTCTTGTGAAAATACTTAACTCCTTAGATGTGTGTTAGCTCCTTTTATTGTCTCATTGGCTTTGCCTGTATCACTGACAAAACTAAGCTAGTATGCAAAATTAATCTGGTAGCAGAACATGTTTCATGTTATTTAACTTTCATCAAAAGACATTTGACAAAAGTTATGTACTCTTTTGGAAAGAACTTATGCATAAGGAGCAAAACTAAATATAATTTACATTTCATACAAGAATAATATCAAATAGAACTGGGCATCTTGATACTCTGATAAACTGGTCATAAATAGTACACAAATTTAAACAATACTTTAAACCACTTGCCAGGTTAATTATAGAACTATTTACTCTACATTGTCTTATCAGATCATGAGATGCTATTTATATACTTAAGTACATGATATGTGGATTGAATATTTTATTTGGTCATGTTGCTTATGTCTGGCCAGTTTTTCTTATGTGTTGATGCTGGCATCCCCAAAGGAAGGGCAGAGAGGTCAAAAGACATATCTCAGTTTACCCAGTTAACATTTGAGACTATACTTCGGCTTTGTCTCCTAATCCTATTTCAGCACTACTAAAAAAAATAAAAGTTTCTTGAACCATTTGAAGAAGAGGGAGAGATGAAGATGTCTAGTTACATAACTGGATGAGTGAATTTAGGAGATAAAAATGGTACAGTATTTAATTCATTACACTGTCATTTCTAATTCATCTCTAACCCACACAAACTAAAATACTGTCCCCAGTGCCACTGAGTAATTTGGGCCACAGGAACAGGCATTTCCTAATACTTTCCTCATGAGCGGTTCATTCCGCCCATCTATACAGATTTTAACATTTGAAAGTTTGGAGAACAAAAAGAGTATAATAAACTGAAATCTACAGGAAGCATAGCCAGAGCCTAAATGAGAACAAGCACTTGCCTGAAGAAGACTCTGGTGAAACAATACATGATCATGCAGACTTGCTGAAGCAAGATAAATTTGCTTTTCTTACTGTCCAATGAAAAGCGTGTCTCCTCAGTGAAATTCATTTTTTTATTTTTTGTTTAAATTTATTTACATAGTTATTTTTTTAATTTTATTTTATTAATTACACTTTATTCCCTTTGTATCCTCCCATAAGCCCCTCCCTCCTCCCCTCCCAGTCCCACCCTCTCACCCCTTTCTTCATGAATGCCCCTCCCCAAGTCCACTGATAGGGGAGGTCCTCCTCACCTTCCTTCTGATCTTAGTCTATCAGGTCTCACCAGGAGTGGCTGCACTGTCATCTACTGTGGCCTGGTAAGGCTGCTCCCCCCTCAGGGGGAGGTGATCAAAGAGCAGGCCAATCAGATTATGTCAGAGGCAGTCCCTCTTCCCATTACTATGCAACCCACTTGGACACTAAACTGCCATGGACTACATCTGTGCAGGGGTTCTAGGTTGTTATTTATTACAATTTGTTCACTTTGTATCCCTGCTGAAGCCCCCTCCCTTGAGTAAATTTCATTTTAAATTCACAGTCAGTCCTCTTCTGCAGCTTTCTACTTCAGCTAAACAATCGTGGCTCAAGAAACAATCTGGTGTCTGCCTGTTTGCTAGGATATGCCTATGATCAGATGAAGTGCACACTTCATTTAAATCACTAGTTGAAAAGGCAATGGGAACTCAATACAGACACTAAAAAGGATGTCATAAGAGAACTTTACTGTAGGAAAAGCAGTGATTCGATTTTCCTCCTCATCTTTATCTTAAAAGATGAAGACTGAGCATAACAATCAGAACAAACTCAGCTAGAGTGAAGTAACAATGGAAACTTCTAGGGAATTGAACAAAAGAGGCAGTGTTTTGTTTTGTTTTTTCTCATACACTGTATCTCTCACAGGATGGCAGACGCTTCCCACCAACTGGGAAAAGAGACCGAAGGAGAAGCCACTTCAAACATCCCATTCACTATAGCAGAGGAGGAAAAGAAGCTGCAAGCACTTGAATTCTTCAGTTTGGAGGTGACACATGGCACATTTTCTCCCCGCCCATTGTCTCAAATAAGCACTGAGGCTCTGCCCAGGCAGTAGAAAATCACAGTTATAATCCTATGTGCCCCCAAAACTGAAGGCCATCAATATTTGGTTCACAACAGGGATGGTTACCATTCCAGGAACATACTCAACATCTAGACTATTTTTAATAAAATTATTTAGGGAAAATACACTCACATGACTGGAATGAAAATGTCAATCATTGGAATTAGAGTAAAAGTGAAATTTAAGAGAGGAGCTGATAAATTTTTGAAACAGTTTAAACAAGTGGTAAGGTAAAGACTTAGATTCAGGAAAGAATGCACTAACATGAAAGCAGGGTGTCCTGGGAGCTAGAAAAGTTGGGATGGGGTCTGAGAAGAAAATATGATCAAAATTTGTTGTTTACATGTATAGAATTTTCAAATAAAGAAAATGTTATTTAAATAAATCAAAATCTTAAATTGTTTTTCTTATTTTTTTTTCAAAAGCTTGTGGGTATTTTTAGTCTTCATCCTGGAATTTCTTCACATTCTCTTTGAGTTCCTTGAACATATTTATACTAGTTATTTTGAATTTATACTTTGAGCATCATCTAAATTGCTTTCCTCAATGTACATTACAATGGAAATAATTTTTTACTTTGGATGAGACATTTTGTATTGGTCTTTAGTGCTGCTTTTGTTCTTATATTGAAACCTCAGCTTCTGGAGTTGGAGCATAGTAATGTCTTTTGATGTAGACATCTGCCCCACCTTTACTGGGTAGGCATTTGGACCTTTATTTGATGGTACCTCAACTTGTCAGGTTTTGGATCGACTATATAAATAATGCTTGCAATTCCATCTTAGGGCCACTCAGTGTGAATGTACAGATGGATTATCTGAAGTGTCCCAGCTTAGCTAGTGCTAAGTGAAGCTTCAGAACACAGATGTGAACCCCCATGGAGCCAATAGGTTCCCACTGTGGGTCCTCAGAAGTCTATGGAAGGCATGTATAGACCTGAGTGGCCCTCGTGTGGCAGGCACTGTGCTCATAGCACAGAGGTGTGATGCTCTTCTACACAATTTTTTTAATTACCAAACAGCAAATAATTTTTCTAAGTCCTTGGCAAATTTATTAATGAAAAGGCTAACCTGGTCCAAAATAGTAACATTTGTACTTTTCATTTTATTTGTAGTTTTGAGATTATAATATAATTATACTCTTTCTCTTTTCCTTTTCCTCCTTTCAATCCCTCCTATATAACTCTTAGTTCTCTTGTGAATTTATGATCTCTTTATTCATTGTCATGTGCTTATGTTTATTTTACACACATATGTGTTTCTAAATATGACCTGCTCTGTTTGTACATTATTTGTATGCACGTTTTTCAGGACTGAGCATTTAGTTTTGGAAAACCAGTTGGTGTGCTTTTCCCATAATTCTGTTTAAGGAGTTTTAAAGACCACATATATAATCCCCCTCTTTCTCCTCATGGTGCTCTCTCCTCCCTCCAGGCACGGCGGGTCCACATCTGTCACCCCTGAGAACTGAGAGAGAAGCCAAGGATGCAGGGCCAAGGGGGCAGAACTTGCTCCAGACTTGAGCAACGGGTTTTGGGATAGCAGGATGTGCTCTTCTTGATGAGGCCACTGAGGGCAAGAGAGCCTTCTCACACTCTCTGGAGATCTGAAAGCAAGACTGGCAGAGCCCTCCCAGACTGAAGGCATTTGATTAACCTAGCGGTGCCATCCTGATAAAGGGGTCAAGTGCTTCTCGCTGTGAAGAATTCTCAATTCATTTCCCAGACGAGACAGTTACATTCAACTAGCATTTCTGTTCCTGGGGACTACTCTCAAAAGTGGCTTAGGGAAGAGAACAAGGGACACTCACTGTGTCTTTTCCCTCCTACTCTTCAAGGATCACTGGACAAGATCCATGTTCTTATCCTACTGGGCGCTCTGCACAACTTTATAAGGGAAGGACCAGAAGAAAGTGGCTAAGATCAGTAGTCCTGGGGTCAGCTCTCACACAATGGGCTCATTTTTGTTGTTATATCCTGTGTATTTGTCTTAAAAGTCTGTGGTGTCAAAGCTGTTTTAGCTTCCCCAATGTTCCTTTCCTTTCGCCTTCACACTTTTTTGTGAGGCACCTTTTTTTTTTTTTTTTTTTTTTTTTTTTTTTACTGTGTTCACATGTATTAATAGTTTGGGATGGCCCACTCTAACCCTCCCACTCACAGAGGAGTGAAAACATCTGAAATCTCAGCAGTGGTGTTCTATGGAACTGCAAGGATGAAAAGATGCCTCCCTGCTTGACCTACATGGGACTCAAGGGAACTGTAAAGGTAGGGCTCCTGGTGACACTGGCAGAGGACAGGCACAGTCTTCTGAGTGGAATTAGACTCAAGCCAACTAGAAGCCAGGGCTTGCAGTAGCCATCCTTGCTTTCCTACGAACTGGTTCCATTCTTGCACGAGCTTCCCATGTGGTCCCAAGAAAAACAGTAGGAGGGAGGAAGTAGTTTGGTGACACTCTGGACTGGTTCTCTATTTATCCTTGCCTGAACTGTATCTCTGGACCTTCAAATTACATGAGTTTCAAAACTCACTTCTACCTTTCCCTCAGTTAAAGTGACCAAGTCAGAGAAAAGCATCACCTTACCTAGACTGAAAATTACAAGTTAGCAATGAGTGGCCTATTTAATGGAATCTCAATCCATTTTCTGGCCTTGTAAGGAAATTTCATCATTGTATTTTTCAACCAGGAAACAATGCTTTCTACAACTAAGACACTAATTTCCCACGGGTTCTATGTGGACACTATTGGGTCTACTTTGAGCGGAATCCTGGACAGGCAAACATACAATCAATTTCCTTCATCAGTGTTATTACCTGTAGCTTGTTACCATGCTTTTTACTGAACTTATAGAAGTACCTTCTCCACCAGAAACCATCATAACTGATGCTAGCCATGTTGTCAGTGTATACTCCTTTTTCTTACTGTCCTTTTTTGCTGCTCTAATTTGTGAAGGTCAATTCATTAATCATGTTACTTTCTCACCATTAACATTCCTTCTTCCAAAAATGTCCTTCAGTACCCCAGTCTATTTACTAATCTTCAGAACTTAGTTTTCTTATTTCCACATCTTTTTCTATCATAAGACAACCATGAACACAACTGTTACAACTTTATTGAACATCTACTATCTTGGCCAAATTCTGCCTTATATTATTTGTTTAATAGACAAAAAAAATACCCATGGGATTGCTGTGACTTTAGCTACATTATTTCATTTTTGTCTTTTACTGCCTCATCTGTATGACAGAGCCATGACTATCAGTGACAAAACTGAAAAAAACAAAAAACAAAACAACAACAACAAAAAACTAGCTTAGCTCTCTAAACATAGACCTCCCTAAATGTGTACCAATTTCTCAGTAGCATGAAATTCGAAGAGGTCACCTGCTCTCAGATCTTTAATTAAACTGTTTACCGATGCTCATATCAGGGTTGATGGCATTCCATCAGTCCTCTAAGAGTCCCATGGTGGCTAGCTAGCATGTGGGCGGGAGAAGCTGGAAATGTCTTCTGGACACCTCACCTGCTCCAGGTCCTCCGGTGACCTCTTGTTCTCTCTGGTTGCATCTTGATAGGGCAAAACAAAGAGCTCCGCAGCAGTTGGCAAGCCAGGCAACACGGCCACCAGGATGTGCTGGCTGGGAATCCCTGTGGCCTGTGGGAGAGACGCAGGGACTGGGTGAGTCCTGGGAGCCAGGTGGAAGGCAGCGGAAAACTGGCAGTCATACAAGAATATGAGGAGTGGTGACCTCGGAGCAGAGACCTGGGAACTACACACAGCGCGGGGTAGAATGAGCACCGCCGGATCACCAGTTAAGTGCCTGTTGAAGAATAAAGCAGCAAATCCCTTTACTGCTTCCCCAGAAAGCTTAGGGGGGTTAGAGGCTTCGTCACATTGCAAGATCTCAGACTTGAGAAACAGGGCGCTCATTTCAATTTTGTAGCTTTGTCACCTATTATTCATAAGAGTCTGGGGGAGTTATCTTAGTTGCTTTTCTACAAACTGAGGATACTAATCACCTTCTCTTAGAGCCGGGGAGGAAAAGAGATGATTTTAAAAGAAGTAAGACACAGCAACACGGCCAGGTGTCGTGTTCTGTGTGCTCTCGCAAGTCGTGCTGACAGACTTGGAGCTGGGCCCTGAGTTTCTCTCACTAATTCTACTCACTCTTGAGAACACTCAGACAGCATTCTCCTTGGTTATTTTGCACAATCACTGATTTTTCACTTACTAGTGTCTAAATTGTGAACTCAGCTGTGTAACTGTCACTGATGTCCATGTCTTTCTTGAAGCAGAATCAGCTTCATAGGGGACAAGGGCCGTGTGCTTCAGAGGGGTGTACTCACCCAGTAATGAAGACAGGCATGCACAAATGGGCCACATGTGCTAACATACCAAATTGATTTACTGGACTCCTTTTGGGCTCCTGCTCTGTCTTTTCCTTCCTTTGCAAATGGTCTGTTCTCCATGAAGCAATTCCAGGACAGAGCAGAAGGGTGTCTGATGGAGAGAAGGTGTCATTTGTACTCACTTCTACCAGAGACTTTTTGATGACTCGGCTGATGTCCCTCCTCCACTCGGGGATATCAGGGTTGTAGTCATCCAGGTTTGGAGAAAAAGCCAAGCGAAGAGACCGGAATTCCTCTGTGGGCATAACAGTAAGTTCATTATTACAGGATAAATAGCTCAAGAGAGCAGTGTACGCATTGTTTTCCATACAAAGCCCTTCACACTCACCATCATGATCATTCTAGCAGGAAAACACACTAAACTGTCCCTGTCTTCTCCCTAACTCTTTCCTTGCTAAACTGAAGCCACAGACTCTGACCCTCATCTAGCTGTGTATCCTTTTCCCACTATCCCCAGCTCCGAGGGCCCCAGGTACATGGTATTGTTGTGACACCAGAACATCGGCATACCCTGTTACTCTAACTGGAATGCTCTTTTATTCAGTACCTACCTACAAAAATATTCCCAAGCTATATAAAGTTTCTCCTGACTGACCATTCTTCCTCACCATTGATGTTTAACTTTCGTTTTTAATGATAACACTCTATTGAACATATTAATCTATCATTCTATAATGGTATAATAATTAGGATATTACATACATTAACATCAGTGAAGATAGAGGCTCTGTGCTCTTGGCCTTGGAACTGTACTTAGCAGCCCTCAACTTTTAAGGGCCATTCATGGACCATGTGTTTGTGGTTGTGATTTCATTTCCATTTCCATGAAGGCTTTGTTATTTATGCATTTACTTGGTTGACAACCAGTTCTTGTTTCGAGCATGTCCTTGTGCCTCAGTGGGGCTAAGTGACATCAAGGATGCCAATGACACATCTAGGACGTGCAAAAGCACTTGTGCATTCCCTGACAATGCTACCAAGTAATCAAACACAAGCTTTGAAGACTTTTACATGAGAAATTGTGTACTTATGGCAGTGGCTTTGTTCCAAAGATACGTTTCTCAAAGTCTGATTATGTTGTGAGTCACTGGTAACCCCTGTGAACATCAGTAATTAACTTCTGGTAGAGAACAATCACAAGCATATAAATTAGCAGCGTGATAAATGGCAGAATTGAAAAGTCACCCCCTGAGTTCTAGCTTTGCTCTGAAGGCAGAGGTTTATGTCATTCTCACTATCTCCTTAACACTCATCAAAGGGCAGTGACTTCATCTATAACGGAAGGTGTCTAGCCTAGAGAAAGGACCAAAAATGGCTTGGCTTCCTCATTATCACTTAAAGTGTGAACCAGTATGAGGTGAAGATAGAATGGCCTAGAAATGTTCTTCCTAAGGTTTCAAGTACGTGTACTGGGGCTGGAAAAGAAGAAAATGCCAATTAAATGACTTTTTTCCTCAGTTCCTAAAGGAGATGGATTTGACACGCTTATCATGTTGTGAAGGCAGACTTGTGACAGGAGCAGATGTGGGCAAACAGCACAGGCTAGAGGGTCCTCCTCTCAGTCTAATCCAGCCTTCCTCCACACTCCTCAGTAGTTTGCCTCCTGCCACATGGCATAATGGCCTTTACTTTCCCTCTGCTTTGCTAAGTTCTGTGCTTGGGTATCAGTGCATCTGCTAGCTTCTTCTTTCTAAGGGCACACTACAAAACTTGCAGCTGTTGACTCTTTCTCCATTCCTTTGAGAGGTAAATCCTGAATAACTTCGAGGACCATGGGTGAGATGTTTCTTTGAAATTGGGAGTAAAGAAAAGGGACAGTGCTGTCCTCTTCCTGCCTCTGTGGGAAGTTGAAGACCAACTTCCCTAGGCGATAGGAGCTGCTTCACATGGCTTAACCACACTAATGACCCCACACAATCCCTCATACTCTCCAATATGCTTCTGCCAGCTAGCCCTAGGATTTAAAAACCACTCTTCCTTCTTTACACTTGAGTTCAAGCCTTCCTGTTTAACTCTGGCCAGTACGATTTTTATTTAACGTCACAATTCATTAAAAGTTCCAATCCACAGGGCAGATGATACAGCTCAGTGATATAACACTTTCCTCACAGGCATAATACTTTAGGTTCAATCCTAGAACTGCTCAAACAAACAAACAAACAAACACACAAACAAAACATTCCAAGCAATGTGTATGACTCCTGGATAGCTCCTCTGAAAATGAATGAAGGATAGTTAGAGCAGGCAATCTGGTCTAGTAACATTTTAATGAAGTTAGATGATCACCACTGTATGTAGGGCGACCACCTTTAGAAGATGTCTTTAAACAGGCTTGGGGGGTGGAGACACAAAGCATAACAAGATGAAGTTGTGTGGAAATGTCCCTCCTAGACACAGAATTCTTAGGCTCTGTTTTCATTGTAGTTATGCCATGTTTTCTCATTTGTAAAACAGTGATAATTATAGATTTATTTTCCTCTCAAGTCTGTTCACAGGATTTTTAAAAGGCAGTTCATATATCTCGAGTGCTTGGGACAGCTGCTGGTAATTAAAACAGGCTTCATCAATGTTAGCCTGTGTCAGTGTCACTGTTGTTATTAATGTAACTGTCACAAAGTAGCAGAATGATTTTAAGTAGTAATTTCTCTAGTCTGTCCACAATTTCCTAGCAATAAATGATGGTTTGGATAAGAACAACTCAGAGACCTTCTAGATTTATGACTCTCAGTGATTCTAATAAGGAGGTCATTCACACACCTGACAAAAGGAACACCTACCTGTTCATGGCTTAGTTTTCAGTATTGTAACTTGTGATATCCAGGAGGAGAGAGACCCATCCATGAGAGGAATTCATCCATGGGGAAGGAATGAGTCAGGTGATTTAGGGTTTTGTGGTTTGGATGTGACATGTCTCACACATGCTAGTGCTTTGGACACTTGGTCCTCCACTGGTAGCACTGTTTGTACAGGTCATGGAACCTTTAGAAGATGGAACCTTGCTGGAGGAAATACGGCATTGTGTGTGGATTTGAAGGGTGTTAGAGCCTGGCCTTACTTCCTGTGTTCTCTGCTCTGCTTCCTGAACAGGGAGATGGGATCATCAGGAGGCTTCCCCACCTGCTGGCAGGTTTGACCAGCCACAGACTCTATGCCCCTGCAAACCTCCTCTCAAACAGAAAAGAAAGTAATACAGAGTATCAGGGCATGCACAGAGGACCAAGAGCATCTGGCTTTGAAGCCTAATCCTGACCACAGTATTTAGTATTTGCTAGGGAAAGTGAGAATTAGCACAATCACTTCCCTCATCTTAGTGTTTCTGTAAGGATTAAATACAACCTCAGCAGCTAGAAACAGGCTAGGGAAAGAAGCTGAATCACAACCTCCCCCCCCCACACACACACACACTGTGCATGGCCATGCTGTAGCCTTCTGCTTGGCACCCCACACACCCAGGTTTCCTTCTTTTTGCTGTCTGAGTTGACCTAAGTGCATCAGACAGGAAGGAAAGGAAAAGCTATGACATCCCACACTGAGCCAGCTGTTTTTACAACAATATCCTTAGGCCTTTCTGTATTCAGACATGTTCAAAGTTGCTTACAAATTGCTCTCTGGTTTTGAAGGCCAAGTTGACACAACAAGGAATTGAAAAAGAGAGAAAGAGTTTCTGAGAAAGAGAGACTTGAGCCTCAAAATGCAATCTAGAGCTACATTATGTTATTGGAACTGGGTTAAATTGATACTTGAAAACAAACTAATCTAACTTTTTTTCTCCCATATTAACTTTCTCTCTGTCACTTTCTCATTCTCCAGTATGTACATTATTTATATAGTTTTATAATCTTATTTTTTAAATTTTAATTTCCCATGATACATATGTACTACTTTCATATTAATAATAAACACAGCTTTCCCATCTGCTGGTAATGCTTAGTTCATATCCAATATGATATAAGACTAGCTTCTTATAGAGAAAAAAATTGCCAAAGTGGGATCAATCTGTAAAAACTGTTTTTATATCTCATTTTCAAGCAATAATACTACCTTCCCACTTCAGTAAATTTTATCTCATCTAATACGTGAAATATATTCAGTTTCCCCAGGTATCACAAAGCTGTCTTGTGTACCTGTTTCTCCCACTGACATCCAGCCCATGTCTGGCCTGTGGTAACGGGGGCATTTCAGTCCATGTCTGGCCTGTGGTAACGGGGGCATTTCTATTGCTTTCAGTCTGAGAGAGCTTGCTGTTGTTGATAGTGTGGAACATATTTTGTTGCTGTTGTTGTTTCAAGTACAGATTTGTGAAAGAAGATTTAAAAGCATTTGGATAATGGGAAGATTTTTTTAAATGGAATTAAAAAGAAAATTTCTCTGAATTAGCCATTTTCTATAATAAGTGGTCTTAGTTACTCAAATACCAGAAAAAAAAAAAAAAAAAACAAAAACAATTGTAACGAGTTACCTTTAATCATGATGAAGCCCAGTCCAGCCTACCCAAGGGATTAAGCTAAGGGTTCTCCTTCATGCACCAGAACCACCCAGGGTGCCAGGACATCGCTTGACTAGTGAACGACACTCTCTAATGCACAGCCTCAGACCATCCCAGCTCTTTCTCAAGTTCTGCCATCTTTAACTCAGGAGAGTCGTCAGCTGGCACTGCTATAGCCACCGGAGTTGGCACGAGCCATGAAGCCAGCACAGGTACTGGACACAGTTCCAGAGAAGCTGAGCGGATTTCTACACTCACTGTCCTTCATTCTCTAACTTTGGGGTTTTGAGCTCTGTGTGTTGCATTCTTGGGGACTTTTTGCATTATGATCCACTTCATGTCTTTTCAGGAAAAATTATGCCTGAGTCTTTTAAGAAAAATCCTAAACTTAACTTTATCAGGCCACTATTTGGAAGTCTTCCTTATTCCCTGGAGATCATTAAGCACAGATAAGCATACAGATAGATGAGGCAATTGCTCTAGGAATATTCTTGGGGCATTTGCCCCTGAGCTAACTCAAACAGCATAATTGGTTCAGGGTAAACAGAGATAATTGACAAACTCTGAGTGGCCAGGAGAACAGGTTACAGATTCAAGGTCTCTTTTTATTATGGGCTTAGAGTTCTCTAAAACTGTACTTTAAAGTTGGAAGGTTATACAGGGTACAGCCCTGGAGGAATAAAACTCAGTAAATAAGACACATTGACTAAAATAAACTTTTCCCACTTTATTGCATAGATGATATACAGTAAAAAGGAGTTATGTATTAGTATTTGTTATTCACAAAATGAATGGATAAGATATTTTTGGTTTGCCTGGAGTGCTCTCATACTACAGACATTGACAGCCTAAAAGCAGGCTGTAATATAACAAATGAGTTTGCCTTGGAGAAGATGTTCTTTATATTATTTAAATTGGAGTAATAGAGCTAAAAATAATAATAAAATCTGGTCTGTTTGTATTTTCTAATTGTGATGGAATTTGTAACCCTGGACATGTAATGAAAACCTTAAACACATACTCTTTACCACTGGATAATCATTAGTCTGTCTTTGTTCTGTGAAACTTGTGTAAATAATGAAGCTCCTGGTTGCTAGTTAGTCAGATCTGCAAAATTCCCCTGACCATCATTCCTGACTCCCTTCCTCCCTCTTCCCTCTCAGACTCCTCATCTACCTTGCCCAGTTAGCAACCACCCACTCCCTGGCTGTTAGCATCATGGGACCAAGCACATCATCTGAGAATGAGGATCAAGGTGCCTCAGCGAAGATGGGCACTCACCATAGACTGCGATGGTCTTTGTGTCCTGCAGGATGGCGTTCCCAGCTGAGACCTGCACTGTGATGGTATTCATTCCTTCAGAAGTAAACTTGAATGATATGCTTCCCTCCAAGGTGATCAGGGGCTAAAATACACAAGGATATAGAGTGAAGGGAAAGTCGGGGTTACTGTTGAAACAGCCTCTGTCTCTGAGTATCACAACATTTCCATATGCTGGACAGATGCAGACTCATCCTGGTGTGCCACCAAATAATTGTCTATGCATTCCCATAAACTGGAGTCCAGGCGAAGGCTACTGCAGAATTCATCATAAGTGATACTGCATCTTTCCCGGAAATTGACTCCTGTCTGCTGGTTTCATCCTGAGTCAGGACTGGAAAATAAATATGTCTAATAGGCCTTTCCTAAAAGCAAGGTATATATATTTCTGCTCATATCATCTCCTACCCAGCAGAACTTTTAATCCAATGATGAATGGATAAATGAAGACTAATCATGAGATAAATGAAGAATAGAAGACTCAAATGTATGAACAAGCTCTGTGAATTTCTAAGCTTTCTGGTATTCTCCTTCAGGATAAACTGCTTATAGAGCCTGGGAAGACAGTAGCCCTGGGCACAGAACGGGATACCATTTGGGCAAGAGTGGCTTGTGTGATGTCCTCTTAGCCGCACTCTCCATAGCTTCTTACAAGCTGCTGCTATGAAAACAAGCACTAATTGGATTGTGTTTTGAGGATTTGAAAGAAAAAAAATGTGTTAGAAGAGTGTGCTTATAATACAGTCAGACACTCGTATCCTAGAAGAAAAAAAATAGCTTACCGACCTCCCTTGGCTCCTTCCTCACAAATACTTCTCTTCTGTCCTTCTTAATTAGTTTTAAAATCAAGATTCACACGATTTGGTAGCGAGAGCACTAACATCGTGTCTAAAGGGCTCATCAGCCGTCTATTGAAAATTTGGCCTTACTTTTTAACGTGGGGAAACAAACAAAAGAACTTTAATTCTTTTATTTTCTAGCAATGGCTTCCACATAAATAGCACCCCCATCGTGGCCTCCAAGAAAGAAGGTCTGGGTGGTGGGACCAGCTGGAGAATTTCTGCTTTAACCTTCGAGCAACAGCTGCAGTGCCTCTGCTGATGGTCACCGCAGTGAAAGTTCGCCTAGAGAACGCTAGTGGAGAAGAAGCCAGAGATACGGAGGAGGGGGCTAGAAGAGGTAGACGGAGGAGATAGGGGAGAGGACTGAACCTGAGGAGGTCTGTGAGCACACCTGGCTTGTTCTCCTGGAAGCTTGGGCTACCCTAGGACTCACAGCCATAGGCCCTCTCATTGGCTCTGGCTCCTGTGGACTGTGCTATGACCGGCCCCTCTGCGGAAGGCCGACTCACTCACCTCGGTGTTGTTCCCGTACCACCACACGTAAGTGAGGGTGCCCACTTGGCTGGGCCAAAGCACCGCAGTCGCATTGACCTCCTTGTTCTTTGTGGTGACAAAAGGAAGGGACAGGTGCACATGCTCCAGTGGACCTGAGAGGCGAGAGAAAGAGGGCCGCAGAGAGGGGAGGGTTTCCTCAGCTCTGCCTCCTCTGCTCTGAGAGGACCCCACGCAGCCTGGAAGCCCCCAAACACTGCAGCCACATTCTCCAAGAGAAGGGCTTGCCGATTTTCCTACTAGGAGAAAAGTGCATGCTATGAACAATCATGCATTATAACCCAACTGACTGTCCGGTCTACTGGGTCTAAGTTATGCATGTGGAAAAGGCAAATGTTAAGTAATTTATGAAGCCTGAACATCAACAGCTAAAATATAACATTTCATAATTTCTTTCCACAAAGCTATGTTATCATAGATAAACCAGGATCTGGGATCTCTGGAAGTGCATGTTAGAGTTGGGGACACCCAAAACTGTGAACTCCTCTTTAATAATTGTTCTTATTATGATTTAGAGTGTTAAAGATAAGGATATGTATAAAGGTGATTGTGTCTGCACACGAGAAAAAAAGCCATCAGCTCAGACTAGCATGCAAGACATTGGTATCTGAACTTGGTTTAGGCTTGCCTAGAACTGAGCAGCATACAAATGGAAAGTGAGTGCCATGTAAACAGGTTCCGGGAATGGGGAAATGCATTTTATTCTTGTGCTCACTTATTGTATAGCTCTTGGACTTCCCTAACCATACAGCTTTCCCCCAGAGTGCTGTGCTTTGGTCTTCACCTTTATTTCTGGACCTTTCTAAGACACTTGAGATGCTCATTTCAAGCAGACCTTCCTCTTTGACACTCTCTGATTTACCTGGTCTGAGTTAAATGAATCAAAAGCAAGTGGCTGGGGAGGAAGCTCAATGACGCAAGCCCAGTGACCCAAGTTAGGTCCTCACAGCCCATGTCAAGGTGAAAGGAGAGAAGACTCCAAGAAGCCATCCTCTGACCTCTACACACGTGCCTGACATGTTCGATCCCAAACTCACCTTTCACGGACATTCACACGCACGCGCGCTCGCGCGCACACACACACACACACACACACACACACACACACTAAATAAATTTTAAAAGACTATTACAACTAGGTAGTCTATTCTGGAAATCCCAGGTTCATCCAACAAGAATTCTTTTTCTCTGTTTCATAGATGAGCATTCAAGTTTTCTTTTTTTCCAAGTTAGACTATCAGAGTAAGGACAGTGTCTAGGTGTCCCTGTGGCAATGGTGATGTGGAGTTGTTACTGGCCTGGGCTAAGCTCGATGGCTTTGAGTGTTGTTGGGCACTGGGTATGATTTAAGGGGCTGGGAACTCGCGACACTTGCTGGAGAGGAAGGAAGGACAGTGAACATCCACAGCAGAGTTAGGGCAGAGGGGGCTGCTGCTGATAGAGCGCTCGAGGGGCGCTCCTCACAATGGCACCAGGCAGCACTGAATTGCATGAGAGACTGCACTGAGTATCTGCGGGGAAAGTTCCCGGATGAGAACAGTGTCCTGAGGAGCTGTGCCTGCCATGCTGACAGGAGAATCGAAAACCCAACAGGCATGTGAGATGATGATGGACAAGAATGCAGCCAAGGACTTCCAAGAGGTAGTGAGGATACAGCGCATGATGAAGCCCTCAGGTAGGTTTGTGTGTGCGTGGAGCTTTACCCTTGCTTGTAGAGTGTGTGTGTGTGTGTGTGTGTGTGTGTGTGTGTGTACCTGAAAACAGGTATGAAATCCATACTGCAACTTTCTATGGCCTCTTGCATTCATTTACTCTCTACTGTTGTAAAACACCTAAATCTCATTGCCCATGACCCCATACTTTAAAAATGTGTAATGCGAAGAAAGTGAAACTCCTTGCTCTGAGTATCTCTGGCTACTTGCTGCAGGCAGATTGGTTCAACCACACACGTACTTGTGATACAGAAAAAGGACAGCAGGTGGCGCTGCATCATTTCATATCATTGAAAGAACCAGAGAATTTCTTGTTAGAACTTGCTTCTTTTGCTCAGACTTTAGCAAGTGCGCCTTTCTTTTCTGGTGAGTGGAGGGAATGTGTACTCACAGGATTCCTGGGGAGGCTTGGGAGGAAGGTGAGGCGGGAACAGGAGAGACCTGACAGCTAAGAATTGCTGCTAATCCTCGGCTAGCTCATAGCTCACTATGGCTCAATACATCTGATCTCTGTGGTCAGGGAAAAATCAAATTTCATTTAAGTGGCAGAATGTCACCTAATTTGCTTGATAGAATTATTGGCTGCAAAATGTATATCTTTTAACAAAGGAAAGAATTTTGGCTTCGAGAGGAGTGTGATTATTCAGTGCCTTTGGGTTCCAACTGCAATGCCAACCCATTCTTTATCTATATACTCTGGACCTTTGACACCCCAAACTAGCCATGCCACCCTGGCTATTTAAGATTCATGGGGGTGTGACTGTCAGTGTAAAATAATGTCAAACTCCAATTTTTCCTATCATTGTTTTTTTCTTTTTTTTTAATCTGGGAAGAGGGGCTTCGGTCACCTACGTTATCTATTTTAGGGTGTGTGCAAAGATGAGCAAAGCGATTCTATGGAACAGGATGAGGGTCCTTTAGGAGAGAAGCTTGAAAACACCTGCTGAGATGAGATTAAGGAAATGGGACATAAATGCATTCAAGCTAACTGTTTCAAACATATCCTACTTCAATACAATTAGCACACAATAGCTAATCCTCGTCCCCCAAGGCCAGGCATAGAAAGCGACACAGTATATAAGGAATGTTTACCCAACCATTCAACCAAAGTGACTCTAAAAGATTAAAGTCAGAATATAAACATTCTATTGTGAATAATCTCCCGCTAAGGTTAAGGCATTCTATTTTATCCAAGTAACTATTTGGATAAAAAGAGAAAATTGCATACAAACAAAGATCTCCTTTCTTTTAAGACTAAAAGCTTCAGCAATCTTTAACTTATTGAGTATAACTGAGGTCTACATTCCTCTCCAGAATCTGGTAAACCTGGGCTTCTGGGGAGAGGTGGTGGGTGACTTGGTGGATAAGAACAGGTGAGTTGATGAGGGATAAGAAGGCTGAGTACCAGGACTAGATGGGAGATGCTGAGAAATGTGGACAAGAAGCCATGACTGAATTTTAAATTATACTGACAATTGTTTGGAGTATGGAAGATCTATTTCAAATTGTCAGACATGGAATACATGTGTGGTTCCTAGGAAGAAGAGCCTTTCAGCAAAAAAATCCCCACAGCCTAACTATGAGAAATAGTAAGACCAGATAAAGAGTCATTCTTGACAAATAAACCGTTACTTCACTGGCAAATTGTTTTGTTACAGATATTGTTTGTGATCCATTTTTGAGATTTTAAGATTTTTACAAGCCCGCCATCATTTTTATTCCCATAAACACAGTGAGCAAGGCACTCTGTCTTAGGCTGGACTGCAAAGTGTACAGTGCTACAGGCAATAGAGTGGAGTCTAAGGAACACGTCAGGAACCTAAAATACTCCCTTGCTCCAGGGACTACGTGCAAAAAGAGCATTGCTGGTAGGCGCTCCCGCGCCACGGTCATCGCTGACAGCAGCTGCAGGCATCAGGAGCTGAGACAGTAGCCCTACCTACTGCATGATGCTTTTCAGAACTCAGGTAATTCACGCAAAAAGTGTGTGGTTAGTGCAAAGGCCCGCTGGAACACACAGCAGGAGCTTGATAAAGTGTAACTAAAAAGAGGAAGCTTGGGTAAGCAAACAGGGAGTTGGCTCTAACTTTGCTCAGACCCAAAGAGGGGAATATGTTTCTTTAAAGCACACTCAAGACTGTGCAAGGTACAGAGATGAATCAGCACACCACACAAGCTTCTGGCTTCCCTAAACAGCCCCATCCTTTCCACTGGAGCACAGCAGCTCTTTTTCCAAATGATGTTTTTGCTGGGATTTTCTGCCTCCACAGGCCAGGTGCTGGGGGAAGCATCCTTAAGGATGGTGCAATGACCATCCTTAACACTTTTGCCTTTGAACTCGGAATGTGAACAAGGCCATTTATACTAAACAACATATTCCATTTTTGCAGAAATCATTTTTGTAATAACAATGCAAATCCTAGGCCTGTTGGAAGAAACCTCAAACCACAATTTCTTATGCCATTAACTTACTTCATTTAAATTACAAGTCACTGTTTTACTATGCAACTCACAACTTTAAATTCTTGATTGAGGAGGGAGGGCACTTAGGAGTCTTGGAGCTGATTCCTAACATAGAGCATCTCTTACACTACATCATCTTCCCCTGAGATCATCTTCTCTAAAATAATAGGTCGGTTGTAGATCAAAACTGAGGAAACACATTTTTAAAGGAGAAAAAGACTAAAATGATTATTCCTGGTAAGGTACCCCTAATCTTATGGGAGAGAAATCCTTTACGGCAAGGACTGAGCTGGTATTTGCATTGATTTCAACCAGTTCTGTCTTAAAAACAGAACAAGAAACATAGGTTTTAAGCAACTGCTCTGATCATCAATCAAAGGTTGTTTGTACTTCTCCGGAGTGTTGGAAGAGGCAGAGGCAGTGAACTGAGATTAATTTGGCTCTGTCCAGAGCCTAAGATTTTTCACCACCACACTTCTTTCTTCTTTTTCTCTCAGTTGTTTTACTTTCAGTTTCCCTTCCTAAAGACATCTCCTATACTTCCTCTAGGTAGAACAGTCTGCATTGGATTTTTTAAAGGGCACAATATTCAATATATGTCATAAGTCAACAACAGTAATAACATACACGTTACATGTAAGTACAGGACGGCGCTGTCAGAGCCCAGACTGTTGTCCACCTGCACGGTCACTCGGAAAATGCCCACATTCTGATAGACATGCTTGATTCCATCTTCCATGGAGCTGAGGTTGACGTAAGACACCGCAATGCCATCTCCAAAGTCCACTTGGATGAGCGTCCGCTGCACATCACCCTGCAAAACAGCCCAGTGTTAGATGGAGGAGAGTTGCTGCTTAGCTGCTCTTGCCTGGGAGCTGAGGCTCTCCTACTTTCCTCCTATACTTGAGAGCATCTCTCTGCTATGATGACATCCCTGTAAAAGTTAAGCAGTTTGCGAAGAATTCTCTCCAAGGCCAAAGGACACCAACTATCACATTTTCAGGGCATCTAATGTTAAGTATTTGATTACCAATTTTAATGTAATGTTCAGTTAGTTGAAAGGCTTTATAATTGGTCTTATCTGGTATGGTCAAAGACCATCTCATAGATCTTCAAAAACCTCAAATTTCCTCTTCTTTCCAGTTCCCTAATCTTGGAGAAAGAATGAAAGGATTCCTTGCCTGACACCTGACATGACAAGTTTCATTAATTCTAATAAAACTTAGAATTATTTATGAAAACTATCATTAATTCTTTTTTGTTCATTTATTTTCTTTTAATGAACACAGATTTTTATCTCCTATGTTGCTCGATCAAAACATTTTTGTGGATGTCAGCCTGGAGAAGAGAATAGGCCAAGTTCATTATCTTCATAACTGAACGTGAAGTGTAGAAAGCTTCACCGTTTACTGAAGGTAACTAAGCTAGGAAGCTACAGCTCTGGGATTACCAACCATTGTCTGGCTTTCCCATTCATTTTTGTAGATGAGACTTAGCACTATGGCTAAAGCATTGAAGGTTTCCCTCAGCCTTGAATCCTAGTCACCACTAACAAGTTATATGGTTTCATAGAAATTATTTAGTGTCTCTCTCTCTCAGCTACCAAGCCTATGATATGAACGTAACAACAGTTCTCCATCTTAACTCAATGAGTTGTTATAAAAGTCACATACATAGTAGTTTATACAATGCTATGCTTAAATACCTTAAATAAATATTAAAAAGAGGCTATAAAAGACACACAATATTCCTTTAAATCTTATTTTAGATAACCTGATGTTTTAAATTTCTCATGTGTAGGCAGGAGATGAAGCCTGCATTTTAAAAATCCTGTAAAAAGAAAGGGCCTTTTTATACATTCAATGAACAGTGTTGCTTAAACTCAACTGGGAAAATCAAGCTTCCTTTCTTTAATACCTATTTTCTTTTCTTTTTTTTTTTTTTTTTTTGATAGCCTTCCACATTTTCAGGCAAACAACAAAACATAAAATAAATCACCAAAAACCTTTGAACTAGAAATGTATTTTCGATTAAGTAAGGTTTATGTGGTATCATATCTTTTGAAAAGGCCACCTCTAAAACACTGACCTTTAAAGGATTAGTACACAGAAGAAGGCAAAGCAGTTCAGACCCTCTGAGTGTATGTGTGTGTGACCTACAGCTTCAAGATATGCCCAGAAGCACAGTGTGCGTGCAGAGTGGCCGGTGCCCAAGCAGAGCGAAGCAGAGCTTTCAGTAGCCTCACAGACTGAACTCTTCCCTTGGGTGAAAGAAAAGAAAAACACCTCACTCAGGCTACATCACAAATATCCACATGCTCACACATTGTGTGGTTACTGGAATTCCCTTATCTAATAATACAAATGCCAGCAATCTTGCTAATGCAGCTGCCACATGGATAACTCAAGTGGATTGATCAATCTTTTCATTCTGCTCCTGTTATGTTTCTACTTGTATGTTTTCTCAGGTTTCATAGTCATGGAGAAGTCAACCACAGGTGTAGGTGATGGAAAGGAATCCAGATTTTAAAACAAGTATCTGAGGTAAATATTAGAAATGGATATAGTTGCTTGTGGCTTTAAATGAGTTGTAGAAATTCCACTGGAGACAAAGGAGTGTAAGGCAGAGTTAGAGCAGGCACCATGCAGGTCCACCTTTGTAAGAAAACGTGTAACACTGGAGAAATGCAATCTTCAGGTAGCTCCGCTTTAGCCTCTAAAGAGGGAATAGGCCACACAACTCAGAAGAATAAGATTTTAGCTGCTGCTGCTTGATCCTGCAATTTCTTGCCCTTCCTGTCTAGAATTACTCAGTTCACTGGACTTCACTTAGATCTTGTAACTGTCTTACATAAACCTTCTCCTAAGGGACAGAGGAGATGGCTCATAGGTAAAGTATTCTCCATGGAGCATAAAGACATGACTTTTGATCCCTAGCATGTAAAAGCTGGCCACTACAACATAGATCCCAAACTTCAGCATGGGATGTTGGGGGACAAGGGTATCTCAGTCTTTGTTAACAATCCAGCTTAGCCAACTGGCAAGTTGTGGGTCTAACATGAGCCCCAGTCTCAAAAGATAAGAAGGTATGATACCTTATGTCTCTGTAGACAAATACACACACATACAAGAACATGCTCTCAGGCCCACAGAACCACACA